TGTATGGTCCCCCAAAGCTGTGGAGTAAAGTGGTTCCTCCCTCTGACAAAAGAAAAGCTAGACTTGATAGCTCCACAGATGATGATGATGATGATGATGATGTTGTCCAAAACATATCACCTGTGAATATATCTAGAAGTAATAAGAAAGATACATTAGTAGAAGAAGCTGACTCTGATTATGATGTTGAGGAAGATATCCAGGACATCTCTCCTGTGAAGAAATCTGCTAGCAAGAAGCTTTCTGTTAGGGTGTCTGATACTCCTCTTGACAACATTTCCTTCCATTCTGTTGGAAATACTGAAAAGTGGAAATGTGTATTTCAAAGAAGAATTTCCCTTGAAAGAGAGTTGGGAGTTAGTGCACTGGAGTGCAAAGAGATTATGGAGTTGATTTCTTCTGTTGGATTAATGAAGACTATCACCAGGTTTGCAAATTGTTATGAGACTCTTGTTAAGGAATTTATTGTTGATATTCCTATTGATTGTGTTGATCATAAAAGTAAGGAGTATAGAAAGGTGTTTGTTAGAGGTAGGTGTGTAGAATTTTCCCCTGCTGTCATCAATAGATTTCTGGATAGGTCTGAAGATGATGATTGTGAGTTGGAAGTAACTAATAATCAAGTGTGCAAAGCCATCACTGCAAACCAAGTGAGTGAGTGGCCCATGAAGAATAAGCTTATTGTTAGCAAGCTAAGTGTGAAATATGTTATCTTGCATAGAATTGGAGCTGCTAAATGGATTCCTACCAATCATACCTCAACCATTAAAATTGGCTTAGGAAACTTTATCTATGCTGTTTGAAATAAGAAATTGTTTGATTATGGTGCTTACATTTTTTATCAGACTATTAAGAATGCAGGAACATGTGCTATCAAAATTCCTATTGCCTTTCTATCTCTTATTTGTGGAATTATTCTTAATCAACATCCTGGAATTCTGAGTGGTAATGATGTATTTTGCAAGAGGGAGTCTGCTCTGACCCTTCACTTCAAGCTATTTTCAGGAAAACATGTCACAGACATTGTTTTGACATCTTGGTCTGTACTTATTTGGCATATTCTATTACTTCTATGCATGTTTTATTTGGCATATTATTCTAAAAAGGGGAGAGAAACTGACTGACCTCTGACTGACCACTGACTGAGGGGGAGCTTTATGTTTGAGGGGGAGCCTCATGTCTCTGGAGATGTTCTAACATCTTCCTCTTCTAATAGCTAACTTAGTTACTTTTGCTAACTGCTAACTGATTTTTGTTTTTACTTGTGTTGTTGCTCTGATAATGTGCTCAAATAATGTTTTAGCCAAAATTTGCCAAAGCGGGAGTTTGTAAGTGTTTGTTGGCAGCAATTTTGGTAAAACACTGATTTGATAATGTTTTGCTAAATGTCTTTACATTTGAAGAAAACTGGTTTTGAATGATGTCAAAGTAGATGCCTTGACATCGGCCTCCTGATCTGAACGTGACTTCATATTTGTTTCCAATATTCCATTTCTTGTTTTTATGCGCGCCAATATTCAGGATATGTTACTCATAGTTTGCGAAAAAATATGGAGGAACATTTTTCTATTTGCATTATCCTTATGGATTAAATCTTAGCCTGTTTTCATGGAAATATTCAAGGAATTGGAATATTTGTTTTTTCAGCTCAAGCCCGTTGTTGCGCCTTTATAAGGACTTGTATCCTTATTTGTTTGACTGCAACTTTTGAATAAGAATATATTCTTTCTCTTTTAGAAGTCTAAGTTTTTTAATTGTAATACACTCTAAGTATTGGTTTAACACTTGAGTTGTAATTTGAGTTGTTAATTGTGGATCATTCATAAGTTTTTAAGTATTGAATGATTGAAGTCTTTAAAACATAATATTTTTGTTGTTCTTCACTATTAGTGATTGAAGGGATTTGAGGAGGGCCTCATACCTAGGTGTGTCTTAGGTAGAAATATAGCATGGGTAGTGATTAAGTGATTAGATTGTAAACTGGTTATTTACTGAAGGTCTATGAATTGATACTATTTAGTAGACTTGTCCCTGGCTTGGTAGACCCTAGAGTAGGTGTTGTTGTACACCGAACTGGGTTAACAGTCCCTTGTATTTTTACTGCTTTTAATATTGTTGCTTTTAATTCCTTGTTAAAGATTCCCCTTGGACTGGTCTCTTTTCTTTGTAAGTTCGCCTTTGATTGGTGTTCTTTTCATAGGAATCTACCTTCGGCATAGTATTCCTTTTTAAAGATTCCCCTTCGGCGGTTTCTTTATCTTGAAGTCCACCTTCAGCTGGCACCCTTGAAATCCACCTTTGGCTGGTACCTTTTGTTAAGAATCCCCTTCGGCTGGTCTCTTTTCATTGAAAGTTCGCCTTTGATCGGTGTTCTTTTCTTAGAATCTACCTTTGGCATAGTATCCCTTTTTAAAAATTCCCCTTCGGGTGCTTTCTTTATCTTGAAGTCCACCTTGGCTGGCATCCTTGGAATCCACCTTTGGCTAGTAGCTTTTGTTAAGAGTCTCGTTCAGTTAGTCTCTTTTCATTGAAAGTTTTTCTTTGATCGGCGTTCTTTTCTTAGGAATCTACCTTTGGCATAGTATTCCTTGAAAAAGATTTCCCTGTGGTTGGTTTCTTTATCTTTAAGTCCACCTTCGGATGGAACCTTTTAAATCCATCTCCGGCTAGTATCATTGGTTAGGAGTCCTCTTCGGTAGGTCTCTTTTTCTTTATAAGTTCTCCTTCGATCGATATTTGTAACATGGTGGGATAACTGACTTGGGATGTTTTGCATTTGATCGCAATTGTTGCGGATAGCAAGAGTCGCCACCGACTTTTCTTTTATCCAATAAGGAAAGGCTGAAAAGAACAGGAAATACCTTTGAGATTATTTCTTGAGTTCGGGGGGGGGGGGGGGGGGGGGGGGGTAGGTTATGAAAAGGGAAGGTATTAGTACCATTTTCATTTGTAGTTATCTACGGGCTCTTATTTTCTTGCTATATCACTTGCTTTTGTTTGAAAGTTTGCTGTGTGGTGTGGTTTTGAAAGTATTTTGAAAATATGCCTTTGTAATGATTCTCGTTTCTATAAGAATGCATACAAAGTATTGTTTGGAAAATAGTTCAAAGAAGTGTTTGTTTTTTAAAGTGATTTTGAAAAGGTGTCTTTGTAATGATTCTAGTCTCTAAAAGAATGCATACAAAGTGTTGTCTTTTGAAAATGTTTCAAAATGAAAGTGTTTGGTGTATGAAATGTTTTTCTTGTGAGCAAGGGAGAAACTAGGAGCAATCTACCTACTCAAAAGGTATTAAACATTCTTTTCCTCCTCCTTTAGATGTTGTTATCTTACCATTGATTTGTTAAGAAACCCCATCATTGGATGTAAAGGGACGGGCGTGGGTCATCGTATAGTCATGATAGCAATATTGTGAGATATCTTAGCATTTCTCTTGAGGGACTAAGATCATTTGTAAGGCAATATTCGTAGCGTCATCGAGGGACTATGATCTTGTATTTTGATTGTTTTTGCTAAGACGTCTCACATGCATAACATGATCATTTTTAGGCAACAAGTGAAGTTAACCCTAGGGGTGCATGTGTGAATAGTGTGTTTAATTTACATGCATTTAGTCTTTGATTATGGATTGTCTACTTGTTTTTATCTTGCCATACATACCCTATTTTACTAGCAATCATACAAAAGTAATAAAAATACAGAAAGATAAAATCCTGCACTATTACAACCATATTGAATTTCAAGAAAATGTAAAGACAAAACAAAATAAAGAAAGGAAAAATGAGTGCTTCGATTTGGGCAGCAGAATACTTCGATTCTGCTCTCCCTGGTTTCTTTCGATCTGGTCTGGAAGGGGTAAAGGCGTGGCTTTCTACTGAGACCTGGGGGTCAGCATGTTATGCCTTTCGATTGGGGCCTGGAAGTCAGCATGTTGTGCCTTTCGACTGGGACTGGAATCAGTGCATGATGCAATTTCCCTTTTTTGCCTCCTTCGACTGGGGGTTGAAAACAGTGAGGGAGTACCTTTCGACTGGACCTGGAATCAGTGTAGGCATGCTTTTCGTCTGGGCCTGGAAGTCAGCATGGTGTGCCTTCTGGTTGCCTCTTTCGTTTATCCTAGAGGTTAGTATGGAAGCCAGAGGCTTCGTTTCCTACTTCCTTTTTCCTGTTTCTTTTGTTTGAGATGTTAAATAGCAACATGGCCTAAGGCCATGCTAGTACTGCCTTAGGGTCAGGTTAGTACTGCCTTATCATCATTCAAAGTTGATTCATTGGGTTACTAGGATCACAAGTGAATTAGGGTTATGATTTGTTGATACTTGAGTTTTAACTGAAGATCTTATTCATTTAATGCTTGGGTATAACTCTCAGGTGGTGTACTTTTCATATTGAGGTTTTCCTATAGATCCTTATCATCATTCAAAGTTGATTCATTGGATTACTAGGATCACAAGTCAAAGGTTCCAGGCTTATGCATGGGTTCACGTGGAGTTTTGTGGTTAATTTTTAAGTTTAAAAAGAATTTGTGGAAGTCTTGGCTTTTGGTGGTTCTTGCATCTTATCATCCATGAACTCACTAAAATTTGCAAAGATAAAGTGAATGAGCATGGTTTATTTCAAGTGGAGGCATGCGGAAAAGGATTTGAAAGTTCAAATTAGGGAGGGAAGTATTTCATTCTTTTCAAGTCCATATTCAAGTGAAAAGTCAACATATTGAAGGCGAGCAAATTTCATTTTTAACTCCAAACCTTCGTTACAAAACCATTCATATATTCAACATCATTTGGTTCCATTACATTTCCATTACAACTTTATCATCACATCAAAAATCACACAAAAAGTTCATGTTCTAAGCTAATTTTATCTTGCTAAAAAATCAAGTTTCCAATCACGAGTCTTAGACTCTGAATGTCATTAAGAGAGAGAGAGAAACCAGTTGATTAGTTGGGCTATTTGATTGCTGCTGTGCAACATTTCTTATCACTTCCACGACCTCAGTAACTTAAGTCTTTAGAGCGTCTGGTGACTCGATCAGATGAAACACCTCAGGCTGATCCATTTCCAAAAGCATCCTAGTAACCTTTGCAGCTCCACCATGTTCAATCTTTTCTACTGGCGGGTATAAAACTTCACCAAGCATAGTCCTCTGTTGTTCAGGAGGAGCATTTGCAAGGGCTGTAGCCAGAGCCTGAATGGGTGTTCCTCCTGTTACTCCTGGCAGCGGAATACCTTGCAGGTTGCAACCAGGAGGAGGGTATCGGTAGACACGTCCCCTTGGAAGCATTTGTTGCTCCATCATTGGCAATGACTGTGGGAGTTGATGAATAGAACCTGCACCTCGCCGTCTGCCAGAACATTGGCCTTGTTGACCCTGCTGACCCATGGGCACAAGGAAGTTTGGCAATGGAGCACTACCTGTTCTCATTCCATGAACCAGTTCCAATGCAGGCTGAAAACGTTCACAAATTAGTTCAAATAAAATACCGAACAGATCCAACCAATTAATCCGAGACTATGCTATAACCTGCAGAAAACCGGTACACAAATCCAATCAGAAAAATAGTTTAGCAGCCCGTAAACATGCTCTAGAACCAGCCCAACACAGATCAGGAACAGGCCCCTGTATTTAAACCACGGAACTGTAATAACCACCCCGCATCAGTTGAAAAAGAGAGAGAGATCAGCTTTCTATTTTGACTCTTCTGATTGCTACTTTTAGAAAATATTTGATTGGTTGTAGCACCACTGGTTCTGATATTGCTTCTTCGATGGAAATTGGGTGGCCTTCTAATGTTAGACATATTTCTCATGTTGCAGAATATGCCCAGGCTTCTTCCCGCAACCAAAACCTGCAAAACGTAAACGCATAGTACACAAACTTGTAACGTAAACTCAGATAAAAAAAAACAATCACAAAGCCATCCCACACATCAATTAAGCTAGTTCAAGGGAAAGATCCATTTAACTCAGGTCAGAAACAGTTTAATTGGGACCCTGCACATATTCGTAGCAAAAAAAATTAAAGGGAACAAATTGCAGTTGAAAATTAGTTCAGCAGAGATACAAAAGAGGGCAGAAACTGAAAATCAGAAGTTAAAAACCGTGAAAGTATAAAGAAAGGAAAATTTCTAGCTAACTTAAACAATTACTAACTGATTCCTATATCCATCATTCACCAATAACTAACATTTAGTTTTCAAGTGAATTTTTAACAGAAATCAAAAACAGAACCAAGCTTCAATAACAGAATCATAACTAACCTCTTAACCGAGTTCATCTCTACCATCCATCCATAACAGACTTCAAGATTCAATGGTTCAGATCTCTTCATTTGCAACAAACTCTCAATTGTCTATATAACAGGTTTCTCACTTTCAGGGGAGAGGATTATTGTCTAGAATCATTCAGAAGAATCACAGAACCTTCTCTCTGCTCCTCTCATCTTCAGTCTTGATCTGTGAGAAGAATCACAAAAACTCTCAATTCTCTCTGCACTTCTTCTGCTCCTCTCTCTCTCTCTCAAATCCGCATTCATGATTCATTTCTCAAAGATCACAATAAAAACTTCAGACTCTCTCTGTAACTGCTTCCCTCTGCAGAACCATCATCATCATTGCATCAATTCTGCAACATCCCTGTGACTTGATCAATATCATCTTTATCATCATCTCTCGATTCAACCTTCTCTGTTTCACAACCGATCCATCATCGATCTGCATCGCATCTTCATCGCACCTTCAATCAACACAATAATAACACAATATCAAGAACGCAGCAAGTGGAAGGAGAAGGCTGCGTCGTTCGCGAGAGAGGGTTGAGAACGAAGAAGAGGAAATTGTGAGATGGTTCTGTTCCTGGAATTTGAACCGTCACAAAATTGTGAACCCTATCCCAACAAAACGCCATCGTTTCATTTGCAATTTTATTTTAATTTTACCTTAATTTTTAATAACCAGCAAGTATTGTGTAAAGTGAAACAATTGTGGAAATTGGACATGTTGAGTTGGATTTTTTTTGGGCCACTACTAACTTGCCCGTGGATCATTGTTGGATTCACACAACTGAACTGGTCTTGTTAAACCGGGCCGAATTGTAGTCATCATAAGGCCCAACGTGAATTTGTAAAGCTTGAAAGCTTACAACAACAAAAAAACAGCATGTTAGCTTGTATTACAAAAATAGCTTATTGGACTCAATTGATTGGGCCTGCACCAAGATTACTTCAGCATACCATACGAATTCTAGTATGCACCCCTTGGGCTTGTTTTTTTTTTTGCTATTTGCAATTTTCTTTTGAATAACTTTGATAATTTTTTAATTTTGTTTGAACTTTTTCTTCACATGATAAAAAAATAATAGAAATCAATAAAACTTGGTAGATTTTTTTATTTGAGTTTAAGGAATTAAATCCCGACTATCTGATTATTTAAGATTTGTAATTCACCTTTGCTTATTGAGATTGAGTCTTATGCAGGATTATTATGTGGTATACGGATACGCTTGAGATTTCAATTGTGATTTATTTTCACATCGATGATGCTTCAACGCTTATTCCAAGCATTTGATATATGACTCTTTTCTTTGATTGGTGAAGCTTTCGCGAAGATCGTCAAGTTTCTTTGTGTTGATACTATAATAAGGTGGGAGAACTGACTTTTGGTTTTGCATTTTTATCGTAAATGTTGCGGATAGCAAGAGTCGCCATCGACTTGTCTTTTATCCAATAAAGGAAAGGGTGAAAAGAACAGGATATACCTTTGAGAATTTTCTGAGTTCGGAGGGTAGTTTATTAAAAGGGAAGGTGTTAGCACCCTTTTCATCTGTAGTTATCTACGGGCTCTTCATCGCTAGCTCACTTTGAAAATGCTTTTGTGTGTTTGAAAATATTTTGAATATGCCTAAGTGCAGCAATTTTGTAACGATTCTCGTATCGTTGAGAATGCATACAAAATGTTTATTTTGAAAATATTTGTTGAAAAAGTGTTATTGTGTGAAAAGGTGTTTGTTTAGAAATTTTGGTGTGAGCAAGCGACTACGAGCTATCTACCTACTCAAAAGTATTTCACGTTATTTTTCTCTTCCTTTAGATAGTGATACCATATCATTAGTTAGTAGGAAGCCATATCATTGGATGTGTGAGGGACGGTGCGGGTCATCGTACAGTCATAAGGGAAACTCGTGGGGCGTTTTAGCAATTTATCGTAAGGGTTTAAGATCGTTTATCGAGGCTGCATCGAAGGGTCATCGAGGGGCTACGGTCTTTTTAATCGAGGGTTTTTGCTAAAGCATCCTACGTTCGAGGGATATGTGAAAAAGGGAAAGATATAGAAAGAAAAAAATTGTCTTGATAAAAAAAATGATGATTAAGGGTTAGCTATGGTTGCTTTTAGATCTTGTCATACACGCTTAGTTACTATGCAATAATAAAGAAAGCGGTAAAGACAGAAGATAGATTTCCTACGCTATTACAAAGCTACGGGAAGGGGGTATAACCATAAAAAATGGGGAAAAAGTAAACCTTAGTTTAAGCTATTACAAACCCTCAACAGTTACATAATTATGAGAAAAAAACAAATACGAAAATAAATGAGCGTGCGGAGATTGTGAAAAAGGGAAAGATATAGAAAGAAAAAAAATTGTCTTGATAAAAAAAATGATGATTAATCTAACCTAATTCTTTTTAATTTACAAAAGAAATTGATAATAATAATTAATAAACCTAAAGAAGCTAAATTAATTATTTCAATTAATTTAAAAAAATTAATTTAATTAATTCAAATAGAAAAAGATTAAGTCAATTTGATTTTAATTAGAAAAAGTTAAGTTGATTTAATTATTTAATTAGAAAAAGAAATAAATTATAAAAAAAAGAAATTATAATGAAATGAAATAAAAAAAGAAAATGGAGAGATGAGCCTGAAGAAGCAAGTTGGGGGGGGGGGGGGGGGGGGGGGGGTGAGAAACAAATTGAATCCCAAGCCCAATGAGCTCCAGCGCTGGATCTTGTGTGGGAAGTCCTTAAGGGTGTTGCGTGGAAATCAGATCTGGTCTGTTGAATTTGGATCGGATGGTGACGATTGAGGGGGTGTATGGTGTGCGTGCCACCTGATTCGTATTGGATCTGTGAAAGAGAAAAACATGAAAAAATAAAAATATCATAGGTAGGGCTCGAACCCGTGCCCTGGTATGCTAACTCCTTACCAATGCTCGCTTCTACCGCTGGGGCGGCTGTTTCACCTGTTCCTATAACTGTAATGATAAAGACATAACATATAAACAAATATGATAACCGGAGAAGTGTCGGAACCCTAGCTCTGGTCGTCTTCTCCGGTGAACTATAACATGTAAACCTACAAATTCAAAGCATTAGTGTTTCAAAACATCCTATCCCCACTAATTCGACCCTCCTGGATCCAAATATGGACTTAGTTCTGTCTATAAACCCTTGGATCATGAGATTTGAATCAAACAAAACTGATCGGAGCAAATGTGGTGCTTTTCAAATCCGCGTGCATGGGACCACAACATTTATTCAAACATGTTCAAGGATGTCTCAGAAACTCGTTAGAAGCATCAAATCAATTTAAAACAAGACAGGATTAAAGATATGATTTTCAAAAAATGTGTGAAACTGGTATGGCCATGCTGTGCAATTTTATGCGTTTGGGACCATGATAATTGATCCAAACCTACCCTTTGATGTTCCAGGATATTAATGGTATTGAGGTTTTGGAACGTAAGGGCTTGTAACACTAGTTTTGAAACTTAGGGTTCTTTGAGAAAATATTGAGAATTTTTGCGAGCTTCTTGAGGCAGGGATGCATGGCCTTTTGGATCTGACTTGTTGTGCTTATATAGAGGAATCAACTCAGGTTAACAAACTTGGTAAGAATCTCATGGAATCAAGTGTATCACATGTCACTCAAAACCTTCCGAAAATGAAGATTTTCTTCCCTTCTTGGTTTCACACGGTTTAGGTAAGGTTATCATGGGTTGTCATGAGTTGTCTTGGGCCTCCTTGTGATTGAAATCAAAAGCCCATGCCCTTATACCATTATTTCATATTTCATTTGATTTAATTTGCATTTAAATGAATAAAAATTCAAATAAAAGAAATAAAAATCATAAAAAAATATGTGAATGGGTTTATAGATCTTCTAACACACTGTGAACATGTTTGAACATCAAAAGTTAGGCCCATTAGTCCAAAACTTCAAGTTTGTTCACTTTTCACTTCATGCATTTTCTCAAACTTTCCCTACTTGCACTGATCACGACTCTCTTAATTTTCATCCTTTTAAGGTGATCTTTGACTTTTTGGAAAGCACAATATGTCTTCTACGATTTATCTTTTGATAATTTTTGCATTTGGAGACTTTAACTTGAAGTTAGTTTTCTTGACAAAAAGTGTCTTTTTGTTGACTTTTGAAATGGCCTGTAATGTGTTGGCTCATATCTCTCAAATGAAGCACTTTTTAGACTTGAGTATAAAAACAAAGATGTAGAGAACTTAATTTCCTTCAAAATGGGCTTTGGTTGGGGAAAATTTAATGAAGCGTGTGAAAGTTATGCTTGGTCAAAGTTCAGTTGACTTCTCCTAAGGGACCCTAATTTGGCAACTTTGGACTTTTGATGATTTGAGGGCTTCTCTTGAGTAATCATGACCAATGTTGCACCCCAATTTTTGCCCCCAAGATTCTTCTATCATCTCATATCAACTCAATTACAACAAGATCACACTAGGGCTTGGTTCTTCTCCCTATCTTTAAGTTTGCTCATGAGGAATCACCAAGCACATTGACTTGTATATTATGATCATTTATATTTTGTTTTGATTAACTTTTAACTAATGAATACTGTTGTACCCCAAAATTTGCCCTCCCATATTCATCAAGAAATTACCAAGTCAAGGTCACAAAATTCCCCCAGGGTTGTGCAGCTCAACTGTCTCCTATACAGTCAAAACTAGGGTTTGAGTCCTGGTCAAGCAAATGAACTTTTCAAAGGCCCAATCAAGTCTCACATGCTTACAAATATGGTCAAGTATCCTCATGTCAAGTTTCAAGGCCTTCAGCTCAAAATTGCACAGTCAAAACCCTAGATTGCACCACAGTCAACTGTAGGGGCAAAATGGTCATTTGACAGTCAAAAGTTCAAATTTTTGGTCAACATATCATTTTGAAGCCACAAACATCATTTGATCAATGCTTGATCATGATTCTCAAAATTTGGCTCAGAAATCATCAAAGATGCAAAAGTTGCTATATTTGGACATCTGAAAAAGTCAACTGAAATTGACCAGGGCATAACTTTCACATGGATTATCAGAAA